ATCCAGTGCCATGTTGCAGGTTCCAATGGCCATGTCCTGCTTTCCTAGGAAGTGGAAGATTTTGGCCAGGCGATTCAGGATGGAGGGGTGGTCCTTGGCAATCTCGATGGCCTGGGTAAGGGAAGAGGGTAAGAGCAAACAATTTGTCTGGTGGTTAGCCAAAACCAGCTAAATTGTGCCTACCCCACAGGAACTTCAATTCTGGATGGAGACATATCACTGCAATGCTCTTCTCCCCTATGTCCACCTGGCCATAAGTTCAGACACATCATGGAACCCAACACTTGGCGGTACAACCCAGTGGCACTCAACCCCTGAGAGTCTGACTCACTGCCATGCTCTCTGCCAGGCTCACCGGTCATGTCCAGCAAATCCTACTAGACCCCAGGCAAACCCCTCGAAGTGTGTATGCCTCCATCTTCCCCAGGGCAGGTGGGAGGACAAGGCCAGAACTCCCCTCCCCCTCCCCCACCCTTAGGCAGCATTTCTCCCTGGGCCACAGCACTGAACACATCGGCTTGTTACAGACTGCTGCCTGTTCTGTGTGTGCTGCTGCCTCTGAATGGTGAACTCCTGCAGGGCAGGGGCCCTGTCCATTCCCTTCTGTGCCCTGGCACAAAGTAGGTTCTCAAGGAGGGGCAAAGGAACACTCATGAACCAGAACATGTTTTGCTCTGTTCTGATCAAAGGTCTTTCATCAAGAAACTGCTCATTAATCCCTCCACCAGCAAACACTAAGGGATGTGCCCCATCCAGGGCACTGTGCCGAATGCACCGGTGAATGAGTATCTCGAGGGCTTTGCCTTCCAGGAAGGACTTCAAAGCTGAGCTAAGTGTGGAAACTGCCACATAAATGAGGTGCCAGTAGTAAGCCCTGAACAGCACTTTACAGTTTACAGAGTACCTTTAGGTCCACTACCTACTTTCAGCCTCTCGATAACCTACAAGGTAGACAGAACACTAATGAACTGATAAGAAAACCAAGGCTCAGAGATCTAAGTGACTTGCCTAAAGTCACTCGTCCTATAATTGGGCAGAGCTGGCAACGGGACCCCAGCTAAACTCGCCTTCTTTCCACTCTGCCATTGGGGGTGGGGGAGGGAAAGAATTCTGCGTAGAAGAAAGAATGTTGACAAAGGCCTGATGGGAGAAAGTCTAGGGTTATCTTTTGAAAATGGTGGCTAGCTTAGATGAGGAAACCAGAGAAATGGGCTTGGGCCAGATTGGGTGTGGGGAGGGTCTTATTCTTAGGCAAACAGAAACCATGACATTGTTCTGAATGAAGAAAGGATGGAGAGAAAGGCCTGGAGTAAGGGTCCTTCCTGGGTAAGGCACATGGTGGGGGATGGCAGTGGGGGAAGATACCCAGAGAAGCAGAGGTTCTGGGAGCAAAGGCTGGGGTGTCAGGCTCCTTCCCACTTGGGAGAGTGCGTGTGGTTGGGGGCACGTACCTTGCCAAAGCAATCCAGGGGGTCGGTCCCTGAGTACCCATAGTCGTGGACGCCCATGGGGGTGGTGGAGAAGGTGTCCTTTCTCTCCAGCAGCATCCCGAGGTAGCACCAGGCCACAGCTAGGGTGAGGGGTGGGAGAGGGGTCTTGAGGAAGCAGCAGGGTGAGAGGGAGGGGAGCCACAAGAGGGAGTGGGCCAGCTCCACTCAAGGCTGTTAGTCTCCATGACGACAAAGGAAGAATAGTGACGTGAAATCACTGTGGGTGGCCCAGGGACAGACAGCATCAAAGGTGGGAAGAGGGGACATGTGAGTAAATGAATGAACACATTTTTAGTGCTTCCTATCTGTATTTAACATGTCACTCCAAAAACCAAAACCAAACCCGTTGCTGTCGAGTTGATTCCAACTCATCGTGACCCTACAGGACAGAGTGGAACTGCCCCATAGGGTTTCCAAGGAGCAGGTGGTAGATTTGAACTGCTGACCTTTTCGTTAACAGCTGAACGCTTAAGTCACTCAGGCACCTCATTTAAGGCACATAGTTCCCTCCTGACTTCAACTCTTCACCAGCTCTGATAGTTCTAGTCCCCGTTCTAGGTGTGAGGCCTGGTGAAAAAATTACTCGACTCTTCTCCAACAGAGCCTCCATTTCCTCAACCATAGAATGGGGGTCAGGAGACACACACCTGGAAACATGTGACTATAATGATTCACACCCGGTGTATTCACTTGTTCAGTGTGTGTGAGCTCCTTGGGGTGAGCAAATGAATATGAGCCAGAAAGTGAGGGAGAAAGAGAAACCAAGTCCAAAAAAGGAGACAGTGCCAGAGGTGGGGACAGCAGGGTAGTGACAGGTACACGGAGAGCAAGGCAGAGGCTGCTTTTCCGCCCCCCCCCCCCGCTCCCCCCTACCTCGGTGGTGGGGGTCCGAGGACTTGAGGACTTGCCGAAGTAGAGCCAGCGTGCGGTTGAAGGCAGGCAGCCGCTTCTGCTCCTCACTGCCCAACTCCAGGGAAATGCCATCTAGCCTGGGGCCGAGAAGGGCATGTGGTCGGTCTGCACCCCCTCCCAGCTGCCGCCAGCTGGCTGTGAGCCTCTCCCCAGACTGATGGCAGGGAGGGGGTCTTGGGAAGCCCCTGCTATGGAGATGGGCTCAGCCACCTCTCCCCTCACCCTCAGCCTGGGTTCCAGGCCAAGCCTGAAGGCAACAGCGCCCCCTCCTTCCCCTCTTCACTGCCACCAAGCCTGACCTGATAAACAGCGTTGCCATGGTGAAGTACCAGCCCCTCTTCTCCTCCATCGGGACCTAAAGAAGCAGAGAACCGACAGGTTGCTGTGATTAAGATACTCAGGCCATCATGCGGATTCCTAGGCTTTTCCCGAATTCCAAGAGGCAGCAAGTACAGTGGGCCCCACAGCTAGAACAGGGCTTTGGCCTTAAGCACCCTTGATTATAGTCCTGGCTCTGCCACTGGCTGGCTCGGTGGCCTTGGGCAAGTCACTTCACTTCTCTGGCCATAGAGGACTTGGGGAGATAAGTGTGTGAGAGCTCCAAGGAGGGTACCTGTCACAAAGCAGGTGCAAATGCATTTCCTCCCCTGAATTCCTCACCCCGTCCTGCTGTCCAAGCTAAGCTCCCCTCCACCTGGCTCCCTCACCTGTGCTCTCGTCACCACCCCCCCTTCCGCCCCACACTGCGCTGGTCACCCTCTCTTCCCCACAGTCCTCCCGCCTCTGCCTGGTGGCGCCCTCCCTCAGCTTCTGCCTTTCTGAGAAAGCCCCTTTGGGCATGTTTTGTGAGTCCAGTTCAGCTGAAGCCCAGGACCCCCCTGAACTGTTTTCCTGTTATTATTCTTGCCAACCTTGCTGTGCATTTAGACCGACTTGGGCACCAGATAAAATATTTATGCCGTTATTTATGGGAGTAGCTGCTCCTGCCTCGGGAAGGAATTTTAATGAAAACCAATAAAACCCCCAGTGCATATCAGCAGCTCTGCATTGGTCTCCTGGCCGCTCCCTCTGCATTCATCTCCTGTCGTTAATCTCAAGGCTCAATTCTGTACTCCTCCCTCCCCCACCACAGCTTCCTCAGCTCAGGACCCCTGTCCCCTTCACTCCCCACCCCCAGCAGCTGGGGTGAACTCATTCAGTTCTGCCAGCATTTCTGAGCACCTACTGTGTGAGAACTGGAAGCCCTGGTGGTGTAGTGGTTAAGAGCTACAGCTGCTAACCAAAAGGTTGGCAGTTCGAATCCACCACGTGATCCTTGGAAACTCTATGGGGCAGTTCTACTTTGTCCTATAGGGTCACTATGAGTCGGAATCGACTGGACAGCAATGGATTTTGGTTTTTATTGTGTGAGACCCTATGCCTGTGCTGGGTGCTGTGGAGATGTGGCAATGAATGGGACCTGCACCCTGACCTAAACTGGCTCATAACCTGGCTGGGCAAACAGATCCAGGCTTAAGTAATAAGACCTGACCAAGTGCCTGCCATGTGCCAGGATCTTGACATCCATCATCTCTTTTAATCTCACAATAAACCTACCAGGTAGGTATCATCCCCATTTCACAGACCAGCTTATTGAGGCTCCGAGAGATAAAGTGACTTGCCTAAGGTCACACAGCTTGCGTGTGTCAGAGGTGGGATTCAAACCCTGCTCCCTTCACCACGCTGGGTTGCCAATAACTATGTTGTTGTTGTTAGTTGCCGTCAAGTTGATTCCAATTCATGGAGAGCCCATGTGTGCAGAGTAGAACTGCTCTGTAGGTTTTCCAGGTTGTGATCTTTGGGAAGCAGATCGCTAGGCTTATCTTCTGAGATGCCTCTGGGACGGTTCAAACCGCAAACTTTTTGGCTAGTAGTTGGGTGCTTAACTGTTTGTGCCACCCAGGGACTCCCGCCAATAACTATAAACCAAATAGAAAAACCCGTTGCCGTCGAGTTGATTCCGACTTACCGGGACCCAACAGGACAGAGCAGAACTGCCCCATAGGGTTTCCAATGAGCAGCTGGTGGATTTGAACTGCTGACCTTTTGGTTAGCAGCCGAGCTCTTAACCACTGCGCCACCAGGGCTTCCCAATAACTACAGAATGAGGCAAAGTGTGATGAAGGTCATGAGAGTGGTACAGACAAAGTGCAGCCAGAAGACTGAAGGCTTCGCAGCGGACGTGGCATTTAAGGTGGGTCTGGAGGAGTCAGTGGTGTTTTGGGGGTGGAGGACAAAGGGATTCCAGATGTAGGGTTCAGCCTGAGCAGAGACATGCAAACAGGAACACGTGTCTGGGGCATGCGTGGGAATAGCTGAGCGTGGAGCATGGCATGTATGAAGGGGTGTGGTGGGAACTCACACTACTGACAAGGTAAGCTGCATGCATGCTCGCTGAGGAGTTTGGAAAGAGGGAGCTTGTGCGTCAGCCTTCAAAGGAACTGGAGTCAGAGTTCACTGAGTGGCTTGACTGTCCATCCAGGCAGGGACTGGAACTCAGGCCTGAGCCAGATGGCCCAGAGAAGCCCCCACCAATCACATTTCTCAGCCAGTATTCACCAAGTATCTCCTCTGTGTAGCACTGGCTGGGCAAAGGGGACAGGAGAGAAATAAGGCAGGCCCCGTCTTTAGTGGCTTCCGGAGACACAATTACAGCGGAAGGAACCCAGGGGCTATGGGAGCCCACAGGCGGTGTCCTACCCAACCCAGGAGTATCCCCACAGTTCCCCCAGAGGAGGCAGCGTGGGCGGGGGTCGAGGACGGGTAGGAAGCACCCAGGTGGATATTGTGGGAAAAGTCGTTCCAGACAGAGCGGATATCATGTGCAAAAGCTCAGAGATGAGTTGAGTGTGGTATGTTGGGATCTGTGCCTGAACATTTGTTGTAAGGGACAGGGGGACGAGACAGCAGGGGCAGATCAGAAGGGGCACCTGAGTGCCAGCTCAGTACCTGTACCTCATGTGCAGGCAATGGGGAGCCATGGTAGGAGTTAGAGCTGGGGAGTGCCAAGAGCCGATGTTTGGTTTTTACATTCATATCATCTTGAAGGGGTAATTCTATTACTTAGGTGGGAATTTGTGTATTGAGGCTTTAGCTGGGAAGAGGGCTGTCTAGAGGGAAGAGGGCAGGTCCCAAGGGTTAAAGGGCATCCTTGAGAAGCAGGGAACATTATTTGCCAAAGCAAAAGGCTAGGATGAGATACCTGCTTTACCTACACAAGACCTGGGCTGTAGGAAGCCAAGTTGGATTTATGGAGCACCTACTGTGGACCAAGCTGGCTAAAGACCTCGACATAATGTTAAAGCCTGACCCTGTGAGGGACCAAAGGCATGCGGTGCCTCACGCTCCCTGGCTACGTTATGAATGATCTCATGACCTCTGGCCCCGTGCCTGCTTTGTGGTTGACTAAACTGAGTTACTGTGGGGAGAACCAGAACCTCCTTTCTCTTTTATGCTCTTGAAAGGAGATGTAGTCCCAAGCGGGAGCCGGTTTAGGAGATGCTGAGGGTTGTAATGCAAAGAGCAGAGGCTCTGGTGTCCAACAGGCCTGGCCAGATGAGATGGGCGACCCTGGGTGAATGAGTGACCTCTCAGAGGCTGTGTCCTTATCTGCAAAGGGGGATGGTCGTACTGGCTTTGCAGGAGTTGTGAGGGCAGCACCCAGCCAGGTATGTGTTCCACATGTTGGTCCCTTTCTCCTAGTTTGGGTTAGAGCTAAGCGAGGTTAGGGTTATCTAAGCCAGCTTTGTCAACTTACAACCTGAGATATTTTAGTTCCTTGTGGGGCAATAAGGTCTCAGGCCCTGGAGTCCTCACTCTCTACTCCTGTGGGGTTCTGCACATTTTTCTCACCTCCATGGGTCTCCAGTATTGGAGAGTAATGTGTTGTCCTGAAGGCTCTCCCTGGCTCTTCAGAGTTCACAGCCACTCTCATTTTGTACTCAGGCTGTGAGAAATGAAATCACATGCTCCAAATCACACATTTAGTACATGACAGAGCTGAGACGTAAACTCAGGCCTTCGTGGTCCTAACCCAGCCCTGAGCCTTGAGCACAACACTTAGCTATCTTGACCAACCTCATTATATATCTGAGGACATGGAGACTGTAGAGGTGAAGTGACTTACTTACGGTCACACGCTAGTTAGCATCAGGGCTTAATACCGGGTGGTTTCACAGACACGCTGCTCAAGGTTGAACATCCTTTAATTCCTCAAGCACCTGGTTACAGGTTGCACTAAGCAAACAATACCACCACCTGGTGGCAGTATTCCTGAATTGCAGGGACAACTCCAAAGTGTTAACTCTCTTTCCTTCCTCTCACCTTGAACACTAAAATTGCATTTTTTAAAAAGTAGCCGAGCAACATCTGTTTGACCAATCCCAAACATAGTCCCTCATCAAATCCTGCTTAAAAGTAACATTTGCAGGAGGACTTATGGGGTTGCCGATGAAGTCAGTGGAGATGAAATGGAGTTAAGAGTATAAACAGATCTAGTCCAAGGCCTCATAGTGCCTGAGCATTACTCCTCTATCCCTGTGATGAAGCTGCTGGAGGCTGTGTAATTCTGGCCCTAACATGGGCTGTCTCTTTAAAATCCTTCTGGTTGTAACTGAAGCAACAGCTGAAGCTGTTACCAGGGGCAACCTGGCAAGCCACAGTGCATTAAATTAAATTAAACAGGCCTCTAACTGCCCCCTCCCCTCCTGTAGAAGGGAGGGGGCTGTTCCACCTCTCTCCTGGCGAATAAAGTTGCTGTGAAACCTCTTATGGCTGCACGGAATTCAGTTACGGAGTTTATGGCTCCCAGGGGCAAGATGCTTGAAGGCAGCCTGGGAGGAGGAGGCTCAGAAGGCTTTTGCCAGAAGAGGCACCTCTGCTGAGGGCCTGCTTGGTGTAGGCTCTGGGCAGGCCTCCCCACCATTTCTCTTGTTTAATCCTCATTACAACCCGGTGAGCTGGGGAATTCCGGGATCTAGGAGAGGGGGCTGGATGGCCTATGAGTTAGTCCAGGCTTTAAGTTGGAGGGCTCTCAACTTAGGCAGCTGTTCCATGGCAGATAGTGGGAGGGAACTGGGCCAGGCCCAGTCACCAGTGTGGACCCTCAGTGAAATCCACAGACCCTGGTACAAGCTGAAGGTGAGAGTGAGGGGAGACCTTAGGCAAGGGGCTCTCAAAACGTGTCCCTGCCCCCTGAGGCCCTCACCATTAGTTTCCTCATTTTAGATATGGGGCAACTGCAGCTCAAAGAAGAAAACAGGCTTGCCTACTTAACCAGATATTTGAAGCTAGGTCACTCTGACTTCAAGTTCATGT